TATACAATGTTCTCTTCAATACAGTTGTACTTTTCACCTCCATAGCTGATAAAATCAGCATACCTATATGAAGCATATATGCTTGTTGGAATAGCATTAAAATTGAGAAATCTTTGTTGTACAACCACCTTCAACTCCTTGACCCTCTGTTTGCTCAGCTTTGGCTGCTTTTCCCTCCTTTTAGTCCTTTATTTCGTTTTCGATATTTCCATCTCAGATTTCCACTTTGACTTAACCACAATCTCTTCTGTTTTTTTACTCCACAACGTCGTCGCTTTTCATAGACTTTAGTTTACAGGAAAACTTCAACATATTTTTCTGAAATACTTACATTTCTGTGGGTTTTGGGTTTGTTCATCAACAACACTTCACTAATACAAAATAAATAAATAGGTTCAGGTTCAGGAGACGCCATTTAAAAGTTGAAATTTGACATAAAAACTGACGGGACATCTATCGGATTTTCTGAGAGTAATCACCTATGTTAATGAAAATCATGGATATCAAGTTGGCTTCTTGCCATTTCCATCGATTAATTTGACCCAGGCCGTCTACTACTGAACTGGCCACACCATAGTTACTTCCATCAATCCTGGATTGGACGAGGTGGTCCTCATCACTGGCCCTCGAGATCACTCGATTTAAATCCCGTGAATTATCACCTGTGGGGTTATCTTAAATCCAAAGTGTATTCTTCCGAAATCATTACCAGAGAGGAGCTCATCTAGTGGATAAAAGAAACATGTCAAGAAATTGATAACAACCGAGAAGTTATTCAAAGATCGGTTAGGAATATTCTGAGGAGAACAAGGAAATGTATAAATCAAAATGGAGGCCACTTCGAGAATTTGGCATGATTTGCATGTTTCATGTTGACTGTGTATATTTTTGGGTTCATCGTTGTGATATTTCAGGAAATGAAGTTGTTTCAACAGTGTTATCATCATCTCGATGATAAAAGTGAGGATGATAAATGATTTCCGAATTCATATAAAACAATTTAAAATTTCGATTTTATACATATAATGTCTTTTTTGAATCAAAAGTTATTCAAAAAGTAACAAGTCACCAATTCATTATTACTTTTCAATATTGAGCAAATTTCCAAAAAAAATTTTCAAAATATTTTTCAAAAAATAAAAAAAAAATAAAAAAATTTCGAATTTTCAATTTCAATTTTTTTCGAATAGCATTAAGCAGATAACTTACTCACAGGTATGCACTGATGATGACTTGAAACGGTCGAAAGCGCTTTGCTACAAATATTGAATATAGTTATTTGTTTAACTAGGCAGCAAAGTAGTAGATTGACTGCCGAGTTGAACTTATAATTTTTTCTCAGATTGTTCACAATGATATAAGAGGATGTTGTATTTGCAAATTATTACAATTCCCACAATCTCTTCAGTTTTCCTGTAATGTTCAAATAGAATAAAATTTGATAGAAATCGCAGTTGTTGGAATGGTTGGTTGCTATGGAAATGTCCATAAACTGTGCGAAAAAATATCGGTATATTCAAATTATCATATAATGGACAGTGACAGCGACCTGGAAGTACATCCTTCAGAAATAAGAGAGGTGGCAAACAATATAGAGTTGAATTTGTTGCCGGAGAAGTATCGGATGAATTATGAAGGAAATTATAAACTATTCATGCATCATCAATTTTGCTGACACATATCAATCAGCAAAGTAACCACTTTGCTGCCTAGGCAGCAAAGTACCCGCTTTGCTGCCTAGGCAGGAAAAGTAATACTTTGCTGATTGATACGTGTCAGCAAGATTAATATCTGATGCCAATCGGTGAAGAAAGTATTCTGCACGAAATACAAATCCTCCCTTCTTTGGTATATATTCACGTGCACACAGCCCATCACGCTCACAAAGAATAAAGGCTCCCATGGAAGTGCCAAAAGTTTGTTCATCAAATTTGTTGTCAAAAGAGAAATAAGTGCTTTCAACCAAAATTGTGTTTAATTCCAAGAATGATTGTTTGTGGAAAAAAAAAAGAAGAAGAAATTAAAGCTATGTCCATGAGTATAATAACCACTAAGGTTGAGAATTTGTTGAGAAACGTCGACGTTAACATTGAGAAACTGTAAATTCAGACAATGGTGGAACTATCTTGGTTATGTAATGGTATATTGCGCGTTATCAATTGAAAGTGGGTAAGGATAAAAATGTCACTCAAATGATTGATATCTGTACGTTTCTTTATACCATAAGCGACCTGAGATATGTGGATCATTTCCATGAAGTTCAGTTTTGTTTGATTCAGTTGCTAGAATCCTCAAAGCAACATAATCCATTATGTGATCCAAATTCTGCCAACGCATATCTTCCAGGATGAGGTCTACTATCACTTTTGTGGAGATCCTATCTGCTAAGGACCTTTTCGATTGACCTATATATATTGTTTGTCACAATCCTGACATGGCATTGGGTAGACTAGATTCGTTTGTGAGAGTGTGGAAACACTGTCTTTCAGTTTTGTGTGAATGGTTCTGATAGTTACGATGGTCTTGTTTGCTATTTTGATATTAGGTAAGTTGATGAAGATTCTAGTTAGTTTGGGTGTGATTTCCTTCATATATGGTAGAGAGGCATAGAAACAATCAATTGGAGGGGCATCAGCCACCACGACATCATTTTACAACAAGTAAAATCGACACTAACTTTCCTTCAACTTGACCATAACTCAACTTACTTTTACAATACTCTAACATTAACCTACCATTAGGTCAACAATTATACAACAATGAATCTACATAAATATGAGCAGTCACAAGCTTACCCGATAGATGACTCAAGCGCTGTTGTAGACAGCAACGAGGATATGTTTCGCGATATATATATATATATATTTATATTTATTAATTTATCATGAATGAAAAAGAAACATGAACCTGATCAAGATGCGAAATAATAAACATCATAAACTAATGAGAATGAATGTATTTGATTGGACGTATAATAAATACCTAAAGTCATTCATTTACCAAGTAAGTACATTATATACCTTCCTTATCCTTGTGTGGTGAGCGTGAGTTTTCCTAATATTACAATACACATGAGTTTTTTTGATATAACAACACACGTGAGAATCACTTTCAAACTTTTGCATCACTATGATGACATGAGCTACTTTCTAAATAACAAAATGGTGTGTTTTATGCTGTTTTTATAGGTGATCGTAGGAAAACAAGTTCACAATGTTGGAGAACGAAATATGCAGCTCAATTAATCAATTATAATAAATGATAATAAATAGATCGAGGATTATCCCACAACAATAAAGAACATGCAGCAACAGATGGAGAATATATTTCTTATGAAGAGTTTCCAATATATTTGTTATGATTCCAAGTTGACTATCGATATTTCCAATTCATGTCTGTATTTGTTGATGAAGTTATTGGAATTCTGATTGACTATAGAAACTATCTCAACTACTTGCTGTCGTATGTTGCGGTATCAATTGATTCACAATATTTCATATTCCGACGATAGTGCTTCATGAAATCATCGTCTTCGAGTTCTTCTGATATCTGAGGAATATTTCTGTATGCTCTGCCATTCAATGTCCGACGATATTCAACATTCAGAACCAAAACCACAAGATTCAACGGTTAACGAACGACGAAATGAGTTCATTGCACTTCCACACTTTACACTTTCTATATCACACTGCACTTTCATGAGGGTTCTCGAACATGTCTCATTCTATATTTTCATTCTTCCACCTTCTCTAGGTCCTATGAGTTGAAGTTCAACTTCAGCACCTAAGAATTGGAAGTGTTGCCTAGCAACATACCTATTTTTGTCTGAGTAACAAGAACGTTAACTCTAAGATAAAATTCTCGAATTGAAATGTACGACTTTTTAATCGAATGCAGAAAAACAATATTACCCATCGTGCTCAAAAGCCAGAACGAATCAGGAATTGAATCTGACTGCTTGCAGATGGAACACAATATTTCACTCGACTCAAGAGCTCCACAGGGCTTACCATAAGAATCTTCGTGAAATACATACGGACTTGTGGTTTCCGTGAGATACCTTCGGCTTGAATAAGGGCGCTGCTATGTCCTTTGGCAATTTAGTATTAGCCAGAGAGTGTCTTTCCTATATATCAGCAGCTATACAGATGAATTGAAATTGATGATAAATTTCATTACATTCGTAATCTGAGGATTTGAATGAGGAAGATACAAATAATCTTGTTTGTATGCTGTTTCCTGCTTAGAGCTATGATAATGATGATTGTCTGGTATTGAACGGTTACTACGATGTAACAATCATCCATAGAGACCATGAAAAAATCGAATATAACTCAATCATAGACTACAAGCCCATGCTAGTTATAGAAGGGGTCACGTGACCCAGCATGAATTATATTCAGAATTATAGTAACATACTATAGAACTCCTTCAAACACTGTGCCGTCACTTGATAATGGTGCATGTGAGTACAGAGTTGAATGGCATTTCAAAAGTTGATGAGATCATTGACAAATATTTAAGCAGGACATAATGGCGTACAAAAATATCGGTACTGAGAGCCAGTATCTTTCCAAAATTTCCAAATTTAGCCCACATTATAGATCATTCGATACAGTACGGCGTTAAAAAATTCTGATTTCTATAACGACGTACATTGATTCTCCTGCAACGCCGTACAAATTTGCCGGTACAGGGTTGAGAAGCACCTCAAACAAACTCCTTTCCAGGTGGTATCGTTTAAGGTCATTGAAAAATGTACGGCATCAATTTCATCAAACAATTCAATACAAAAATGGTCTTCAGAAATCATGCCGTCTGAAAATTATGGTATAACATTAATGGAAAGTTACCTGCATTTGGGTGAATTGAATTTTATATTCATCATAAAACGAAAATGAATTTCTGTACTGCAATCAGTTCCTGGGTGTGTATTTAGATCTTTGCTGGATATAATAAGACTGAATATAATCAGTCTACTTGAAAGCCGCTAATAATCAATGGAAAATGTGAGTGAAAATCAAAATAAGAAAACCGAAATCCATAATATTCTGTTATCGCATTGAGATTTATAAGAGGAGTGAATTGCAGAACATAATTGCTAACTCTTATTCTTCAAGTATCTCGAAATGAAGAGGAAAATATGCGGTTCATTTCTGATTCGAGAATTGCTCACAGCTGATAAGATCGAGCATTATATTCTTACTGAATTTCAAAGTCTTTGTATATTGGATATGGAGTTCAGTGTGTACCTTAATAGAATTCGAAAATCGACTCATAATTTTTGGACCTTAGTAGACATGTTTTGATTTTCATGGAAGTAATTGATGTCAATACAATACACTTGACCTGATCCAGCCTTAGATCATTACTTCACAGTACAAGGTGATGTAATCGAGGTCCTCCTAGAGATTTGAGCAATATCACTTCAGAGTTCCATGATCTCTTCGTCGAATGCTTCAGTAAGGTCGGTATGATTCACGTCTACTCATTTTCCAAAATATATTGAGACCACTAGATCATTAGGTCCATACTGAAAACTATCAGGTTTGTTACTTTTGATTTTTGACTCTGATCTACAACGCGTCTGATCGGCTATCCTGAAGAACATTTTTGTCTAATTTACAGTTGCAACAGTGAATTAGCACTGATTTACAGTTGCAACTGTGAGTTTACAGTTGCAACTGTGAATCAGGAGATGATAAAAAGAATACTTCTGCCTGATTTACAGTTGCAACTGTGATTCAAGCAGAGAAAATGTTTTTCAAAACACCTTATAATTTACAGATGCAACTGTAAATTAGGAGAGATTGAAAAAAAAAGTTTCTACTGCGTTATTTCCAGATGCAACTGTGAATAAGAACAAGAAAACTTTATTCTTCAAAACACCTCCTTATGTGCTGTAATACTGAAGAAATAAACTTTTTTTTCAGAACACTTCCCGATTTGAAGTTATGCGACTCTAAACTATAGGTGATGAGTATTTAACCTTCCTAAAATGACGACTCCAGTACGAATCGAGTATTGCCGATGTGCAGAATTGATTCGTTTTCGAACTTCATAGCGTAGTGCGGAGTCGTACTCCGCAGCGACACTAGACGTCTCATTTATATTGCATATTGCAGTCACAATCTGCAGCTATTGTGGGCAATCTGGGCAAAAATTTTGTCTCATTTGATGAATGATATTCCATGAAATACCGTTTCGTAAACACACATGATCGATGCCACTGAGATAAAAAAATTGAGACACCCAATTTCATTGTAGTACATGTGAAAAATTCATGTGCACTCTTTAGTCATTTGCAGAGATTGCCGATGAGTCATTGGTGATTTGAGATTGAAACATTCCCAGTTTGTCCTCAAATTATAGTGTTTTCGTTCGAATTCCAGTTATCAAATCTTCGATAGTTATCTTATGGTAATTTTGGGTTCTGCTATTGAATAAAAATATTTCAATTGCAATTTTGACATTTCACTTCGTAGAGATATTCATGTCCAAAGGCATACTGATGAAATATTTGAAAATATTCGAGTCATCATGTTCAAACCACTCGAATTTTCCATTGCGGAGTCAGACTCCGCAGCGACAGACTATGTTCTTCTGACGGCGCGACTACTGGAAGGTTAATACAACGGTTTTTTTTGCCTGATTTGCAGTTGCAACTGTAAACTAGGCGAATACTGAAACTGGAATAATAAATTATGCTGTTCTGCCAATTTCAGCCTACGAATATAGTTACATACATCGATATGAAGCATATGCATTTTCTGATCAGCTAGTTGTATTGTGAACAAAACCTATTTTGCAGGTCTCCTGGATAAGACACAGAGACTTACACCTCCTGACCGTAGGTAGATTCACCTACACCTCCGACCAGAGATTCATCAGCATCCACAACCCTATGACTGAAGACTGGACCCTTCAAGTTCGGTATCCTCAGAGACGGGATAGCGGGGTCTACGAGTGTCAAGTGGGCACCACGCCGCCTATCGGAACCACAATGTTTTTATCAGTCGTGGGTGAGTGAACGGTTCATAGTAGGGGAGCTCATGCAGGGATTTTGGAATTGAGTCGAGCACTGGAAAACATAGTCGGCCAAACTTTCAGTAAAATAGGCGCCAGTAACCACATTCATCTAATGATACCACAACAACATTATATGATACTATACTATATCGAGTATTACCACTACACAATAGTATGACACTCATAGTTTAGTATGATACAATTTGTAGTGGTATTTTTCGATGAATGTAGTGACTGGCCGTTACCACCGATACAACAAGGCCTGCATGCTCCGTGGGTGACGTCACTTAGTGGGGCCTAACCAGCGGCTCGAAACGACAAGCGCTTTTAGCGCTATAAGGCGACCGCGTATTTCGATTTTAGTTTTAGATCATCATTGAGCCGATTTTGCTGTTTTTTGAAGGGCTTTCGGTTGAACAAGGATGCCAGTCGTCAACTGAGCCCTTCTTCGCACCCCATTCGATTTTATTATGGAAAAACGAAGTTTTAAAGCAAAAACCAGGATGAAACACAAATATCCACCTACCCTACAGCAACCCATTCGAATTAAATATATTGACAAAAATTGTGATGAAGGTAAACTTCACACCTACTCAAACAGGGCCCACAGAACATAAACTCATCGTGAGATTGATCGAAAGAAAATTGTGGAAAATGTATTTTATTTTGATGGACATGCCGTTTGTTACAATTACCTATATTTATCTTGGAGAATTCCTATTACCTGAAAAAATAACCAGTGAGTGTTTTCAGTTTTCTGTTGTTGGATTTTTCACCCAAGTGGATCGTTACACTTAAAACCGTAATTTTTAAGGGTAAAACTGCATTTATCATGCGATGTTTTTTTTTTTTGAAAATTTTATTCGGTACTTACGTATTTTTGTCTGATAAACCGAATTTTATAATGGAAATATGAACAAACCACTTTTTATTGAGATATTCCAAGAAAAAGTTCGAAATTTCGCCTTCTTTCTCCCTTCGTGTTGGGGGCATTTGAAGCTACTTGCTTTTATTTTGTCATTGGACACTTTATATACTCATGATGTACTTCGATGGCACATTTTTATATAGAAAATTCAACAGGAAATATGATTTTTATGGCGAGTTTTTCATATTAAGTGAACAAGCATTTCAGATGACGACCATTTAATCAATAGTCAATCAAAATACGAGATGTCAAATTTCAATAGATTGCTTTCGAATGACATTACACACGCCATTATTTTGAAAGATATTCTTCCTTCTTCTCACTAAATATGGATAAATCTCAAGAAAATCATATTTATAGTTGAATTATATATAAAGTGTCCAATATGATGAAAAAAGAAGGTGAATTTGTTCTAAATGCCATCCAGAAGACAGGTGATAAAGAAGGTGAAATTTGGAACTTTTTAGTCAAATATCTTCATGATAAACCTTTTTAAGTAGAGTGTTTGTAGTTCATGTTGATATGATAGTTTCAATTTGATCATTGGAGAATTCTGCATTCATTGCCACGAGGCAAATGACCGTTTTCAGAAAGAAATTTGAGAATGAGAATTAAAAATGCCCGTTTATTATGAACATTCAAGAAAATTTCCTCGAATTCAGAGATGATTTTGTCAACTATAATATACGAATACAAAACTAACTGCACAATCAAAGCTTTTCTATTTTTCCTCTACTTATACTTTTTATGGGAGAGTGATTGTCTTCTATTATTAATTCATCATTATAAATTAAGCTCTGTTCACTACTGAACTCAGATGGAGTAAAATCCTAGCGGTGAATTGCATATACCCATATTTTCGATAGCTCCTCGTCCAACGGGAAACTAAAAGCATAAACTTTTGAATCACCCACATAATTCCCCCGATAAAAGGAAACACAACACTTGAAAGGCATTGTTATTTCGCCGATCACAACACAAAATATTTCACAAAACAGTAATTTTCCCGCCAATTATTTTGATGAATAAACAACAAAAGAATTCGGGACCGTTTCAAAAACATACGTGAATCACCGATGAATTTACACGAACTGACGCGCTAGTCGACAAGCGATAAAATAAAACACTGGCCTCTGTTGGTGACGTCACGAGCTGTTTACGTCAGAGTCTGCTGGCCTTGTTGTATCGGTGGTAACGGACTGGCGTCTATTTTACTAAACGTTTGGTATTCACTACCAACTATTTATCTGAGTGAGTGCATAAAAATGACATAAGGGGGGTAACCTTGCACCTTGTGAAGTATTTCCACTACACCTGAGCTCATTATATGGGGACGAACATCTATAAGGGCAGCTAATCAGATCAGTATAATAAAATCGATCGTTAGAAGAACACGAGCGCGTCTGATTGTAGCCAGGTGAGTTAATTACATTCAGACGATTGTGTATTTCAATAATCCGACCCTACAATGCGCGGCTCGGTGGTCGAGAGCGTGAATGCGCTGAGTTCGTATGAGGACTCCCACCGAGGCATAGGTTCGAATCCATGGCCATGACAAACATCCATGGCATGTTTGTATACTTACCTAATCCCGCACAAGTTTTGACTTATGGGGCGTTTGGTCTCAGTGCTGGGACCAACGAGTAATTGTAATTGCAAGAAAAAAATGATTGCATATCTGCAACATAATATCTAGTCATTTGCAGTATTCTACTGAATGGAGGCGTATCTGTTCAGTGACGTTGTTAAGGATTATGACACATCACATATACTCATTTGGGATATTTTCGAGTCGTTATCGCTATATGGCTCTCACAATAATGAAATATGCAACGATTCAAACGTGTTTTTTTCATCAATGACTATATTTGTTAACGCTGATAAATATAGGGGATTTCTCGCAGTAACATAATTCATTAGCATGAACTGGTAAGGAATACAGTATGTTATGGGATATATTTTTTGTTACAGTCAACCAAAAAATGTTGAGGTCGCTTTGGGAATAGTATTGCACATAATTATGCAACGACATGCTGGTATTCGAGCCTCATCATTATCATCTCGTAAAGTGTAAGAGATACAGGGTCGGTTGCAACATGGAGAAGTTGCGTAATTCCATACTTCATAGATTTTGTTTTGAAACTTGGAAAATTTCGAATGATTTCGGAGATATACGAAAAAAACCGAAATGAATTTCCGATTCATCTGCAGGAATTATTCAAAATAAATGACACTTCATAATTACTACCTTTTTTCCCGTTCTTCAGATTTGATATCTGAAGTTTCGTCTTCCAGAAACCATCAACTTATGGTTCCTTCAATACGGGCCTGGATATTTTATCTCATTCTTCTACACCATTGGATGTCTTGAGATCTATGAGCCAGCACAAAATCCTATTTCCGAATATTACCCCCACAAGAATTGACAGTTTCCTATTGCATAATATTAATTGTAGATTTTTTAATCATGTTCACCAAGCATGATGTTGCACATATATGCAACGGTTGAATATCTACAAAAAAAAACTAGATCAGAATGAAAATTCCATTATGATAGAATCATCATATAATTATTATTCGATACAATCCATTAAAAGGTATTCTGAAGAATATCAAAGATTCTGATAAAGAATCACGAATAAGCAGAAATGAAACAATTAATATTATGAATCACCTTGGAAGTAATGAGTTAGGTGCATATTCTCAATGGTATCCCATTTTCTGAATTACATTGTTGAAATCTTGGAAAAGGAAAATGAGCCAATATTTTGATTAACAGCATACTTCGTTGAGGACGCTAGGAATCAGTGTCAAAATTCTGGGAAAATGGGATCGCACGGCCCTACTTCCGGTTCTGAAAACATTTTTTCAGTGGAACAAAAATTCTATGCTGTTTCCAAAAGATGAACGGATGTTTCTCTGAAAGAAGATTTCAAATTTTTTTCCTCAATTCCGATTTAAAAAATGCTGGATATTCTTGAAAAAGGCAATGTTAATGATTTCTCTTTGTTCAAAATTCGTGTTTTTTTCATAACTCTACTTTCAGTGAAACATAGTTATCTAAATTTTGAATCACAGCATATCTTCTGTGTTTTTCGAAAGACACTATGAAAAGTGAGATCGGAGAAATCTTGTTCTCATTGCAGAGATGCACGGTGTATCCATAATTAACGTCAAAAAAGTTATTCATGTATGCCAAGTGCGTTATATAGATCCTAACGCCCGGAGGTTAACATCCACCAAAGTACCTTTGATACAAGGAATGAATGCTACCATATTAGACACTACTTTCATCTCAATTGGATTCGTGATTTTGTTGATGAGGAGAAATTATACAAATTCAACGATATTTCGATATTGAGAGTTGGAACTCCTAAGGGGCGAAGAGTTTGTTAGCAACAAACATTTTCGTTCAGATAGAACAAAAACATCATAAGGCCCAACTAACTGTGCAAAAATCCCAGAGCATGAATTAAAATCATCCGTATAACCGAAATGAATAGAATATATTTTGGGTCATGCCAGAACAACGAGGTAGTCAGAGAATTTGAGGTTAATGATCCGACACAATGTCGTAAAAATGTGCTCACAACTAATAGGCCGTTGCAATGCAAATGAAGCAAATGTGTCAACTCCCGCAGTTTAAGTGTCCTCGGTGTGCATGACCAAATCTATTAAAGCGCTTTTTGTGATACCCTTGGGACATTTCATGGAACTATAGGTTGCCAAGTGTATTATGTTCAAGCCTGGATCACGTTTGGATTTTATTTGATGAGTTTCAGCATAGTTTTACACCTACAATTCCGCATATACAGGGTACACAGCTGACATTCTGCATTAAGAAGTATGGATGGGAATAGAGCGTACTGACAGTTTTCAGTTTCCTTCCTGAGTCAGTCTGATTTGAATAGACTGGTCTTTGAAGGTGAAAATTGAAGTAGATTCCTCATTGTTGATAACTTGTCAGCGGTTATTCTGATTAGAACATATTGGTGTTCAGATAAAAACTGGAATATATGGTAGTATGGAATCAACTTGATAGAGGTAATGATACTTCTTCAGGAGTGCCGAAA